ATATAGAAACCTTCTAAAAATTATAAATCAGAGAAGTGCTTCCTCAACTATCAAATTGTACGAAAGTCCTACTGAACTATTAGAAAATACCATAAATGACGAGTAGAGTAATAAGTTTGAAAATTATGACAATTTGAAGTTAGTGATGGAAAATGTGAATGAAGAGCTCCGTGTGGGAGAGTAAGTTTCATATTTGAAATAAACCACAAATGTTCATAATCATCAAACAAGCAATCCACTGCTTTTTAATTTTTAATAGTGGAGAGTATTCAAATCCAAAAAAGTAGCGGAGTGACCACTATTCTTAGTTTGAATCGTTGATCGTTTAATTAACGGTTATGCATGTTTGTGTCTCATTCCAGATGTGCGTTGTAGTTCTTCATATTTTACACTAGGGAAGAGAAACCGCAATCATTCATTGCACAACTAATGATTATAATTAAAAAAAAAGTGATCTCAACACTACTCTTTTCTATAGTGGGGAGGATTTGAATCCCTACCGTTAGCAAATAAGAGGATCCAAATTCTCACAGAGCTATAATTTAGAATTTATATTCTATACAGTAACGCTGCTTATGAGATTTTCTCATAGTCTTGGGAAGTTTAGGATAATTTCAGAAGCTCATGGTAATTCAGCTATAGTGTTATCCTTCGAGAATTAGTTATAAAACTTTAATTACATGGATGGCCCGAATAAAATCCAGAAAACCCCAAAAAATCTCAAGTATAAATAAATACATCTGGATAAGTCTAGTAATAATCTTTTTCTTTTGCTTTTTTGTGAAGAAAGGAACAAGACAAGTTTTTGGTTGTACTCACTTGAGTGGAGTTCAAACCTTTGGGCCCCGCAATTGGGCCGAGCCCACGTGGTCTCATCGCTTTCCACGCGCCTCCATCCGCAAACCTTTCTCCACGAATCAACTGGGGAAAACTAGAAAGGAATTTTATGTATCTACCACCCAAACTTATCCTTAATTACAGGTTCACCTTCCAAACGTGCATATTTATAAATTTATCCTTATATTCTCCCACGTATGGTTTTTGCACACCTATTCATTTTATACTGTTAAAATTCGTATGAAAATATACAGATTAAGATGGTGACTTTGCAAAGAGTATCGATCCGGGGAGTGTTGATATACGAATGCGTAACAATGGAATTTAGGGTTGATTCTGAAGAACTTAGGATCTTTTGGCCTCCTTTGATGGCTGATCCTGTGATAGGAGAAGCATCCTGCACGAATGCAACACGTAAGAGGACCGAAGCTAGTTTCTCCAGTAATTCCTTCGACGATCAAGTTAGTCATGATCTGGAGGGGGATTAAGGAGCTGATATAGTTCTCTCTAAATGTGCTTTGCGTACATTTGATCAGTAGTTGATGTGCCTATTTATACCCAGCTGATGAGAGTATTTAAGTAACTTTGGCCGAGTCCAAGCAGTCAGCTTATTCGGCTAATACTTTACAGGTGTCGGCTATGGGTAGTATAAGTCATTCTTGTGATTAATGCGACGGTGGCAAACCTTCCCAGGCACTGTCGTGGTCCAATGACTCATTAAGACTTTCGAGGGGTTCAAGAATGACTGTCTTTCGTCTCCGTCTGGCGAGAAGTGACACATCTCGTCTCGGCCTGGCGATAAGGGACGTCTCTTGTCTCAGCCTGTCTGGGTCGAGTGAGGTGTAGTCTACTTGAGGCACGCGTCAGCTAATTGAACGTGATTAACACTTGTTTATTTCTATACACAACAATGGGGTATATACAAAAAAATCTTATTATGTTTTTTAGAACAAGGATGATTCTTATCATGTTATTATTGAGAGAGAAAATCTCTGTTTTTTTCATTTTATCATATACTTTAGATGTTTATCAACCTCAAAAGAGAGTGATACTTGACTAGGAATCCCACCAGAACCCTAAGGGCTAAGGGGGTTCTGAAAAATGCAGGAGGTAGAAAAATGTCCAAACGTCCTCTTATTTAACACCTCAGGGACTCAAACCCCCCCTCCCACACCGTGCGGTAGGCTCTGATAGGATTTAGGGCTTGTTTGAATTGAGGAGAATAAGGGTGAAGGGAAGTTAGGGGAACCATTCACCTTGTTTGGGAACATTTAGGAGGTGAAGTTATTCACCCTAGTTCCCATTGGTTCACCCCCTAATAGTATAAAATTTGTTTCCCCCCAAATTAGGGTGTAACCAAGGGGAAGGGAACTCCATTCCCTTCCCTTCCATTCTCTCACCTAGTTTCCCTTAACTTCCCTTAACCCCATTGAAATCCAAACACACCCTTAGACTTGAGGCAATGTCAAAAAAATATAAGGGTAAAATAGGAAATACTTGTATTTAAAAGATATAGATTTGTAAATTAAATAGGTTTGGAGGGCATACAAGTGGAGAGCAAACAAAAATCAGAACTCAAAAAAAAATTCTCTCTCAATCTTAGCACACTCAGAGATTCACAGCTGAGGACCAATCCAATGGCTTCTACAGTGTCCTTCTCCCCCTTCTCCTCCTCCTCAGCTTCTTCTTCCTCCGCTCACAACCTCTCTCGTGCAAGAGCCCCAAAATCTCTCCCCTTTAGTTTCCTCCATCTCTCATCAAAATTCTCAACTGGGCTCCCGAAATCTCTCTTTTTGAATCATGGGTTCTCGAGATCTCAGGATTCTGTGTCGAGGAACGAGAGGAGGGCTGGCTTCGTCTCTGCAACTGCTGCCACTGAGAAGAGTATCCACGATTTCACTGTTAAGGTATTGAAATTTGCTCCATGTTTGGGTAGGAAAGATTTGGTTTTTATTCTGAGAAGTTGAAGAATTTCCATTGCTGGGCTTTGTTTTTGAGAAAAGGTCGGAGCCTGAGATCAACTGATAGTAAAAGATATCTTCTTCGCTCTAACTCTTTGAATCGAAAACATGGTCTTTGCTTCCTTTACAAACGAGCCAGCACGTTGCCAAAACTGCACACTATCACATTTGTTTCTTCTGTTAATGAGAATTGCATTCAATCACCAAACCATCAAAAAGTTCTACACCACTTGTGATGCTATCGATAATTTTAATCGGCTGAGAAGCCAAAGATGTGCTATATTACTTTGTGCATGATGTTCACAGGAGAAATTTATCTACCATTTTCCCATATTCTCTAGGAATGCAGTGACATCGAAGATTTAGTTGGTAGGAAGTTGGTTTTCAGAGCCGCTAGTGTAGCTAACCATTGATAGGTTGATAGCAGGCTTAGTGATAACTGATGAGAGGACTCTGTTTTGTGTAGCTCTCCTCTAACTCGTTGTAAACCCACTGAGAGTTTAATAGAGAATGAGAGATATAGAGAATCCAACAGGGGCCACCTCAATTTGACCTTTCTCTACCTAAAGTGAGGGCGACATCAATTTCAAGCAGCTGATGTTTCTTTGGCTCAAATCAGATCAGCCGTAATTGTTGGAAAAACTTGAGAGAGAATTGAAATGAGGTCGATTGACAGTGAGGTTGATTGACAACGACCCCTCAAGTCAAGTTTTGTGTTCTCCCTTTCAAAACAAATGGGTCCTAGCCATTTGACCAAATTCAAGCCAATATCAACAATCTCCACATTTGATTGAATTCTCAAACATCAATAACTAATGAATTTTACCCGTCTTGCAAATTGCAAACAATGCCCCAAACGGGGCCACCTAACAAGTGCGAAATAACTACGAGATTATACCTGAAGCAACGGCTATACACATTAAAGATGAAGGAAGGTACACCCATTCAGGAACACATTGATGAATTTAATAAAATTATCATGGATATGAAAAACCTGGATTTAAAACTTGATGATGAAGACCAGGCTCTCATTGTGTTGTGTTCCTTGCCCGACTCTTATGAAAACTTTGTTAACTCATTGTTGTGTGGAAGAGAATCCATAAGTCTTGAGGATGTGAAGGCCTCTTTGAATTCTGCTGAGTTAAGAACAAAGTTGAATGGGAGAGGTACCGATAGGCAGGCTGATGGTTTGCTAGCCAGAGGTAGAACGAAGACTGGAGAGGGTGATAAAGAGCAATCCAAAAATTGTTCAAAGTCCAGGTCAGCCCAAAATAAGAAACATGTGGAGTGTTTCTACTGTCACAAGAAATGGCGTTACAAGTCAGAATGTTATGCTCTAAAGAAGAAAAAGACAACCAGCGTGGTGAAACCTCAGATTCAGCTAATACGGTAAAGATTGATACTGTCGTTGTTGCTGAGACGGTTCTTACAGTGTCCCTTGGATGACCGTTCCGATAGAGAATGGATCTTGGATACGGGTGCGTCTTATCATATGTGCCCAAATAAATATTGGTTCACTACTTACAGATCTATAAGTGGTGGATCAGTTTTGATGGGCAAGAATGTAGTTTGCAAGACAGTTAGCATTGGTACAGTTCGCATCCGGTGTCACGATGAGATAGTGAGAACTTTATCAGATGTGAAACACATCCCGGACTTGAAAAATCTGATTTCTTTGAGTTCTTTGGATTCTATTGGGTGTTCTTATACTGGTGGAGGTGGAGCTCTTAGAGTTACTAAGGGTTCATTGGTTGTGATGAAAGGTAGTAAGGTGAACAGTCTTTATGTTCTCCAAAGCAGTACGATGACAGGCTCTGCAGGCATGTCCTCTGATGCTGATAGGGACACTACTCAGTTGTGACACATGCGCTTAGGCCACATGAGTGAGAAGAGGATGACTATTTTGAGTAAACATGGCTTACTCTGTGGTGATCACTGGATTTTTGTGAGCATTGTGTGTTTAGGAGACAAACTCTGGTCAGCTTCTCGACTGGCTCACATACAACGAAGGACACTTTCGACTACATCCATTCAGATTTGTGGGGACCTGCTCAGGTTCCATCCAAAGATGGTGCTCTTTATTTTCTGACGTTTATTGATGATTTTTCCAGGAAAATTTGGGTTTACTTTCTTAGGCGCAAAAGCGAGGTGTTCGAAACTTTCAAGAAGTGGAAAGTACTTGTCCACTTCTTGAGAATCAAACTGAAAAGAAGATTAAACGTCTCCGAACAGATAATGGCCTAGAGTTCTGTAGTGGTGAGTTCAATCAGTTCTGCTCAAATTCTGGGATTGTACGACATCGCACGGTCAGGCACACTTCTCAGCAAAACGGGGTGACAGAACGCATGAATAGAACGTTGACGGAGAGAGCTAGGTGTATGCTCTTAAACTTTGGGTTGGATAAAGACTTCTGGGCTGAAGCTGTTAACACAACTTGTTACTTGGTGAACCAGTCTCCTTTTACCGTCATTGAACACAAGACTCCAAATGAGGTATGGTCAGATAAACCAAATGACTATTTAAATTTAAAGGTATTTGGATGTCCCGCTTACTATCATGTTAAAGAGGGTAAGCTTGAGCCTAGAGCTGAGAAATGCATATTTATTGGTTATGCTGATGGCGTTAAAGGCTATCGTTTGTGGAGTCTTGAACCTGATTCTCCTAAATTCATTATTAGTATATATGTTACTTTTAATGAAAGATATATGCTTGATCATGGGAAAGTTTCTGTTGAGTCTACAGGAAATGTAGAGAAGACCATGGATAAGGTAGAGCTTCATGTGGAGCTCGAGGGAGACTTCTCAAAAGTCGTCTATAAAAATTGCTCCTACAATTATAGAAGAACAACATGATTCGAGCTCAGATGATGATGATGCTAAGATTGAAGAACCTTATTCCATAGCCACTGGCAGAGAGAGGAGACAGATCAGACCTCCTCAAAGATATGCGCATGCTGAATTAGTGGTATATGCTCTCACGACAGCTGAAGAGATGTATATTCAAGAGCCATCAAACTTTACTGAAGCTGTCTCATGCGAAGAATCTGGATGTTGGGCCACGACTATGACAGAAGAACTCGAGTCACTTTACAAGAACCAGACTTGGATTTGGTGCAATTACCTAAGGGTAAAAGGGAAATTAGATGCAAGTGGATTTTCAAGAAGAAAGAAGGGATCTCAGGGGTTGAAGATGCTAGATTCAAAGCACGGTGGATGCAAGTGGATTTTCAAGAAGAAAGAAGGGATCTCAGGGGTTGAAGATGCTAGATTCAAAGCACGGTTGGTGGCTAAGGGTTATAGACAAAAGGAGGGAATTGACTATGATGAAGTGTTTTCTCCGGTTGTGAAGCATATCTCCATCCGTGTATTGCTTGTCATGGTTGCTTTATTTGATCTGGAGCTTGAGCAGCTTGATGTGAAGACTGTATTTTTGCATGGCGAACTTGAGGAGACTATCTACATGTCTCAGCCAGAGGGATACTTCGTAGAAGGTAAAGAAGATCAAGTTTGCAGATTAAAAAAATCTTTGTATGGCCTAAAACAATCTCCCAGACAGTGGTACAAGAGGTTTGATAATTTTATGCTTAGTCATGGGTACTCAAGATGTACTTATGATAGTTGTGTGTCCTAGATGCATCTAGGGGATGATTCTTTTATTTATCTTCTATTGTATGTCGATGACATGTTTATTGCTGCTAAGAACATGTCGCAAATTCTTATTTTGAAGAAACAACTCAGTTATGAGTTTGAGATGAAAGATCTTGGTGCAACAAAGAAGATTTTAGATATGGAGATCAGGAGGGATAGGAAAGATGGAACATTATATCTCTCACAGAAGAGTTGTATTGAAAAGGTGCTTGAACGCTTTGGAATGAAGAGGGCCAAACCCGTTACGACTCCTTTGGCTCCTCACTTTAGGCTCTCGGCTTCAGATTCACCTACAAGTGAGAACAAGAAGAATGAGATGTCCCGAATTCCATACTCTAATGTAGTTGGTAGCATTATGTATGTTATGATTTGCACTCGTCCAGACATTACCCAGGCAGTCAGTGTAGTGAGTAGATATATGGCTCAACCAGGGAAGACACACTAGGAAGCAGTGAAGTGGATCATTCGGTATCTCAGGGGTACCTCAGATTTGGGTTTACTTTTTGATAGCAGTACTTTGGGAACCTCAATTGTAGGTTTTGTGGATTCTGACTATGCAGGTGATCTCGATAAAAGAAGATTTTTGACTGGTTATCTTTTTACTCTTTCTGACTCATCTATTAGTTGGAGATCGACTCTACAGTCGACAGTTGCTTTGTCTACTACAGAGGCAGAATACATGGTAGCAGCAAAAGCGGTAAAAGAGGCTATATGATTGAGAAATCTCGTAAGGGAGCTTGGACTTCAGCTTCAGCAGGAGGCTAGTTCAGTTGTATTTTGTGACAATCAGAACGTAATACATCTAAGCAAAAACTTAGCACATCATGAGAGGACAAAGCATATTGATGTCAGATATCATTTTATTTGTGAGGCAACTGCTGAAAAAAACATCACGATGAAGAAGATGGGTACTGCAGACAACCCAACTGACATGTTGACCAAACCGATCCCGGCCTTCAAGTTCAAGCACTGCTTGAATTTGGGAGGCATTCGCACTTGTTTGGTGGCCCCGTTTGGGGTATTGTTTGCAAAACGGGTGAAATTCACTAGTTATTGATATCTGAGAATTCAATCTAATGTGGAGATTATTGATATTGGCTTAAATTTGGCCAAATGGTTGGGACTCATTTGTTTTGAAAGGGAGAACACAAAACTTGACTTCAGGGGGGGAGGGGAGGTCGTTGTCAATCGCCCTCACTGTCAATCGCCCTCACTTCAATTCTTTCTCAAGTTTTTCAACAATTACGGCTGCTTTGATTTGAGCCAAAGAAACATCAGCCACTTGAAATTGATGTCGCCCTCACTTCAGGTAGAGAAAGGTCAAATTGAGGTGACCCTTGTTGGATTCTCTATATCTCTCTTTCTCTCTTAAACTCTCAGTGGGTTTACAACGAGTTAGAGGAGAGCTACACAAAACAGAGTCCTCTCAAATTTTGTATGTGCGTTGTATTGAGAGATTGAATATAGTGAAACTCCTCTCTTGCCGTGGACGTAGATCAATTTGATCGAACCACGTAAATATTGTGTGTTTGTGATTGTTTCTCTATTTTCTGTTTTTTGTGTTTAATTATCCCAACAATAACAACTTGTGTTCTATATGAGATTCTTTCCTAATACAATTTGATGCTGCTCTCTGGTGAGTGCTAGTATAAATCAATTCTAAATGAACGAGCTTGTGTAGTAATACTATTTTGGTGCAGGATATTGATGGCAAGGATGTCCCTCTCAGCAAATTCAAGGGAAAGGTTCTGTTAATTGTCAATGTTGCTTCGAGATGGTACTCATCCCTCCCCCTTTTGATGTTGCCACTATACTTTTTTCATTATGGTGGAGTAGTTTATGTTTTTATTTATTTTGTTATGATTTTGCGTCGGTACTAATTGGACAACTTGATTTTGAACTATAGTGGGTTGACGACATCGAACTATACAGAACTTTCTCACATTTATGAGAAATATAAGACACAAGGTATGTGGAATAATTTTTTAGCAGGCTTTTAATTTTTCCATTCCCTGTTTGTCTGTTGTGCTTTAATTATCTTTTTGGGTGCATGGCCTGAATCGGCATACACATTAGGATGTTGAGAATTGTTTTCATCGTTTAATCTCAATTTATGCATTTCATTTTAATATGTCTATGCGCGCGCGTGCGCGTATTTACATAGTCAAATACGTTGTTAAGAAGAAGATTTTCATTGGTATTCTTAACAATTCCACCAAACTCCGCATATAATACAAACCATAGTTGTCTAATTCTGGGGACCCCCTCGAACCATCGGGTGTGAAATATTTGTGAACTGATTTCCCTTTGGTACAAAAATTGGTTCTCCAAAATTGGCATAATGCTTACAAGTATGCTGGGTGCAAAATTCCCTTGCGCGCACATGCGCAAGGTGCAATATAATGCATGTGCATGAGTGAAGCAAGGCCCACACTGCACACATAATAGACAAACAAGCATGAAGGAACATATTTATGAGTATTCACATAAAAAAGATGTTAAGAATCTTAACTAATGACTCACGATAGATAAGTATCCATCGACTCTTGACAGGACTCTGTGAGAAATTATAAAGTAGGTCCTTATAAAGGATGGGACATTAGTCCCAATAATGATAATTTGGATGACTTCTCAAGTAAATTGAAGGAGCTTAAATGAAACTGTTTGGATTCAGAATTAGCTGAAGATGCACATAATGCTAGGGGGGCGGGGTTGTGTGTGTGTGTTTGTGGTGGGGGGGGGGGGCGCGGTTAATATGTTTCTAATTTGTGATTTATATGTTTTTTGTCTTATGTATTCAGAAATTTTGAAAGTGAAGCATTGAAGTATTTATATAAAAAAAATATTGAAATGTATAGTCAGCTTTCTAGTTTCTAGTTTTTTACTGCATACTGAAAAATGGTAAGTGCACCCAAAATAATTTACAACGTACCACTTACCAAACTTGCATATTCAAGAAACCAACCCCTCCCCCATCGAATCCAAAATAGCTAAGTGGCAAATTGCGTACCGAATTCGTAGAAAGACCCGCTAAGTAAAAAATTTCCAATTACCAATGTGCTTTTCTACCTTGTGTGGTTCTAGAGATGTAATCAAATGCTTGCAGAATATCTCATAACCTTATTGTTTGGCAAGTTACAAAATATAAGGCATTCTTCCTCGCACCTCATCCATATTTTACATGTGTACCACACATGCAAAAAATACGGCTTATATTACTATAATGAGAAGACATTGTAGCCAGGCGAATACCTTCTTAATTTATAGCTAGTGCCCTGTTTTTTATAAAAATGGGTTTTTTATATTAGTCCCTTAAATCTTTAATAATTTGAAATTAGTCTCTCAAATCAGTAAAACTTGCTATTAGGTCCTTCAAATCTTATAGGGCGGTCCAAATTATTCCTTCCGTTGGATTTTCCCCCCAATGTGCTATGCCTGGGTGGATAGTAATTAACCATGGGTGCCCTCACTAAATATGTATCTGTTAGATTTGACAAAGGAGAGAGCCTTTGTAGAATGGATTAGAGGGAAGAGTTGACCGTTGGGGCAGATAGATGTTTTAATGGGCATGGGTTTTAAGTTGGTTGTGTTGTTAATGAATTCCATTGAACTGAGCATGGATAAAAATAAGGGTATAGCTGGTATTTCATGGCAAAAAGTTAACTTAAGAGGAATATTTCCCTGAAATCAAATGGTAGAAAACCTGATAGATTAATTTGAAACAACTCACAAGAGTTGGGGACATGATAGCAATTTCAATGATTTGAGGGGTTGTTTTCCAAATATTAATGATATAAGGGACTAAAATATAATTATCCAAAAAAATTCGCATGCATGCGTAAAAAAACTAGATTAGAACAATAACAAGAAACATAGTTTTTATTTCCTTTTAATTAGAATTGAAACAATCACTGATACATGCAAATAAACTAACAATTCTCAAGATGTGTTCCCAGACTCGGTGCTATGGATAATTGGAATCTATGTTAAGTATTAGAGTCATGCCCACTAGGTTTCCAATTTAGTATATTTCGAAAAGCCATTGATTTTTTTGATTTCCTCCAATATTTGAAAAGCTCGGATGCAAGATCTACAAAGAAACAGATTAAACAACATTATTAGAAAGACTGTGAAACTAAGAAAGCATATTTGTTCAGTTATTTTTTATCATTTGATCGAAAACAGAGGAGCGATGGATTTTGAGGGGGGTTCCGGTAATGAGTAAGAGGGTTTTCTCTGTTTTTTTTGTGATTTCGCAAGGAGAATTACTCCTCCATTTAAAGGGGCTAAACCCATTATCTTCACCCCTCAGATCCGCCCCCTAAGATATTTTCTCTCAACAACCATTCCACATTTTCATGTTTTTCATAATTCTCTCTACTGAGAATCGTTGATTTGGTCACACATGACCGAGTCAATGTAACATCTTCCACTTGACCAAATTAACCAAGTGATATGCCTCCCATCATCCGTGAGATCAGATGTTTCTCCTTACCATTACTCTCACTATCCGTAGAGAGTAACTATTATTTTATTATTAATAAAATTTTCCTCGACTTCTTTATTTCTAAGTCTCATCAAACTTATATGTTTGATAAAAGATTTCGCTGGTATTCCTTTTGTTAAAGGATCAGCAATCATATCTGTAGTAGGGATATAAGTTACTTTGATTTCTTCATTTTCTACAATATCTCGAATATAGTAATGCCAAATCTCAATATGTTTTTCTTTGGAGCTATTCGCGCCACTATTGATTAAGCTAATTACTGCTTGATTATCATAATAAATATCAATAGGTCCTAACAAATTGAGATTAAGATCAATCAAAAATCGTCTTATCCAGACAGCATGTGTAGTTACCATACTGCAAGTTATATATTCAGTTTCTTGCGTATATCTAGCAACACACCCTTGTTTCTTGCTACTCCAAGAAACAACTCCTCGGAAGATGAATAAGTGTCCCGAAGTGGACTTCCATCATCTTTATCACCTCTGAAATCCCCGAGTTCAAGCGAATCAGCTGTAGGCTGTCTAAAAATCACAATAGATAGTTGATCCCCCATCAAACACCGATGATGGAAGTTACAATCTGACGACTTCCAGAAAGCTATAATTTGAAGACTTTCATGTAGATCGATGAAGGTTACAATCTGACGACCTTCACAATAACCGATGAAAGCTCTAGTTCAACAGCCTTCACAATCAACATCGGGAGTTACAATCTGACAACTCTCATATTTTCGAACAGCTAAGACGAAGATCACTCAACAATGGTCTTTACAACGCTCTACAGAAGAAGTTATAAGTCATTAGCTCATTCTAAAACACAGAATTCACCTTCGCGTTTCAGTTCTTGAGACGCAGGCAACCCCCACGTTTTTAAACCTCAGCAAATAAAACGCGGGCGGCCATCGCGTTTTTTAACATCCAACGGGAGCCTAACTCCGCGTCTCCAGTCTAAAACGCTTCACCTTCGCGTTTTTCAACATCCAGCGGGTGCCCAACTCCGCGTCTCCGGTCTAAAACGCGGAGTTAGGGTCCTGAACGTCAACTTGGGCGTTGTTTGACTCATTCAACATGAGCTGAACGGTTCCAAAACCGTTTCCCACGATTTGGGAGCGGTTACACCCTACTTAGGAGTGATTTAAGGGGCGATTACACCCTCTTAAACCCCTATAAAAACGAGTAAACTCAACTGAGTTCAGGGCTTTTGGGGGCCTGACGGATTATCTTGGGATCCTTGAACATTTTCGGATCTGAAGAGCAGCAAAGGGCGCCTCCTCTTTGGTCTTTCGATCCTGGAGGCTTGGCAGTAAATAAGATCCTTCATCCTTCGGCTGGAGCTTTGGAGATCGGCAACAGGAGCTTCTTCATCCTTGGCTTATAACCGATTTTCGGTTAAATCAACTCTTCCATAGAGTTTCAAACTCGTTCAGAGTTATCAACTCATTAAGAGTTTCAAACTTGCTTTGCAAGTTCTTTACAGCGTCAAATCGTGAGGAGAAGATATCGTTCTAATGAATCAAGACGTTCGGATCGTCAACGGAGAGCAAACTCGACGCGAGCATTCGAGGGAGGCACTCCATTGCCACCGTAAAGAACCCAGACTTAAACAAATGGGAGAATCCAGATCAATTCTCCTCTCTTTTATAATCGGAATCCAAATTGTAATCGAGATCGAGAGAATACAAGTCAATTTTTTTTCATTCTTTTTACTCCAAATTTTTCACCAAACATCAGCTTGATAAACTAATCTATGAGTTAATGTACCTCTGATATACTTCATAATCTTTTTAACAGCTTTCCAATGTGCTGAACCTGGATTATTTTGATATCGACTGACTAGACTCACAGCATAAGATATATTAGGTCTGGTGTACAACATTGCATACATCAAGCTACTAATTGCTTGAGCATAAGGAACATCTAATGGCTTATGTCTCTCTCCAGGGTTTTGCTCTTTACATAATATCTTTCTCATAACCAACGGAGTTGGCGCCGGATTGGAATTCTCCATTCCAAACCATTTAAGAATTGATCTTAAATATTTTTCTTAGTTTAAACTTAGCATTCTAGACTTTCTATCTCGAATTATTTAAATTTCAAGAATATATGATGCAACTTCCCTGTCTTTCATCTCAAACTTTTCGCTGAGATCTGTCTTGATTTTATTCTATATTTCTATGTCATTTCCAACGAGCAATATATCATCCACATATAAGGATAATATAGTAAATTTGCTCCTATTTTTCAAGACATATACACAATTATCTAATTTATTTTGAATAAAACCAAGTTTAGTGACTGTATCATGAAATTTGAGATACTATTATCTAGAAGACTGTTTTAAACCATATAGAGATTTTATTAATTTGTAAACTTTATGTTCATGTTCTTTCACTTGAAAAGCTTCAGGTTGTTGCATATATATCACTTCCTTGAACTCTCTGTTAAGGAATACTGTTTTA